CAGGATGAAGTGTATATTCTAAATAAATATAAATAAATATAAATAAATAAAAATAATATAAATAAATAAATATAATAAATATAAATAAATAAAANGGGATAGGATAAAGTATATATTCTAAATAAATATAAATAAATATAAATAATATAAATAAATAAATATAATATAATAAATATAAATAAATATAAATAATATAAATAATATTAGACTTTGATTATTAATATTCCTTCAATATTAATATTCAGAAATTATTTTATCCAAGACCAGGGACAGGATGAAATGTATATCCTAAATAAATATAAATAATATTAGATTTTGATTATTAATATTCATTATTAATATTAAGAAATTATTTTATCCAAGGCCAGGGATAGGATGAAGTGTATATTCTCCTTTATCTGCATATTTATGTCATTCTTCACCATCAGTAGATTTTGCAATTTTTTTAACTTCATATATCAGGAATTTCATCAATTATAGGTTCATTGAATTTAATAGTTACAATTATAATAGTAAAAATTTTTTCGTTAGATTATGATCAAATTTTATTATTTCCTTAATCAGTATTTATTACAGCAATTTTATTAATTGTATTATTATTTATTTTAGCAGGAGCTATTACTATATTTTAATACTTCATTCTTTGATCCAATAAGAGGAGGAGATCCAATTGTATATCAACGTTTATTTTGATTTTTTGGATATCCAGAAGTTTGGTCTATAATTTCTCATATTGTAATAAATTAAAGAAGAAAAAAAGAAATTTCTGGAAACTTAGGTATAATTTATGCAATATTAGGAATTGGATTTTTAAGATTTATTGTTTGATCATCATCATATATTTACTGTTGGATTAGATGAATTCCCACAGTTAGTATCAAAGTTTTTATGATTGGCAACATATCATGGAGCTAAATTAAAATTAAATATTCCTGTTTTAGTTAGATCTTTAAGTTTCATTATATTAATCACTATTAATGGATTAACAGGAAATATTATTATATTATCTAATTCCTCTATTGATATTATTCCTCATGATACACATTATGTTGTCAATCATTTTCATTATATTTTGCCAATAGCTGCAATATTTACCATTGTTTCAAAATTTATTCATATCCTTTAATTATTACTTAACATTAAATGATTAAAAATCCAATTTCCCTCAACATTTTTTAAAATTAACACCCACACCTCATTCATATTACCAGATTTATATTATTATTGAAATTCAATTTCATCAATTGGATCAATACTTTCACTAAATAGAACAATATCTTCCAAAAAGAAAAATCATCTCCAGAAATTTTCTCTGATAATAAACACGCACAACTCGCAGTCCCCTTTCGAAAAAGAATCTTTTTCAAAAAAAAAAAAAAAAAAAAAGAAAAAAGAAAAAGATCGTCCACGATTATGGATCTGCATCCGGTGACCGGTCGGCGATATTATTCAAAATTAGCGGGTCGAGGCGCGAAAGTCGGAAGTGGCAATTTGGCGGGCGCGCGAACAAGAGACAGAGAGAGAGAGATAGAGCAACAGAAAGAAAGAAAGAGAGAGGAGGCGCAACAAAAGGCCGCGGTTAATTATGATTCTTTTATGATCCGATTTAACCGATCCCCAGAGGAGGGAATCATCCCGCACAATGTACGCCGTGAATTAACGGACTATTTAGCCGTTAGGAACAATGGAGTTCCTCTTTCTTTCCTCCCTTTTCCAAACAATGGGATCGATGGAAACCTTTACCTTTTAATCGGGCTAATTTTGCTTTTCACCCTCTGTGAAAAAGAAAGAGAGGTGGAGGAAAAAGTTAAAGGACAAAGTTTTCGAAAAATCTGTTGAGGATCTTCGAGGTTGCTTGCTCCAAGCAAGCAAGCAAAAATTAAGATTTGTCGCGGAATTTTTCTCTCCTTTTTACCCATCTCCACGACTTAAAGAGGGGGTGTAATGGAAAATTAGGGCGGTTAATGAAGAGAGAGAGGGGGGGGGGGAAATCTTCGAAGAGATTCTCATCGAGTAGAATTCTTGAATTGCGAGTAGTATCGTCTCCGGAAGTGGAGGATATTTTTGCAAGAGAGAAGGGGCGCAAAATTGGGGCGAAATTAATTCGAGAAAGGAAAGAAGAAAGGAGGAGAAGAAGGGGAGTCTCGAGGTCCGAGCTGAAAAAGCTAACCTCTGACCGCGAAACACCTGGCAGACCCATAAAGGGCAATGATATTTTTATAATTGAAATTAATTGCGGGTTGACCGCGCGCTGCCGCGCAATAAAAGGAAGAATGGCCGCCGCTGGACGGGCAAAGTTGAAATTTTAAGGCGAATGGGAAAAGCAACGCAACACATACACACACACATATATATATATATCAAAAATTTCAATTTCGAGGATCAACTCCATTACACATATATTCGAAAGAACATATTTCGAGCGAAAAGAGAATTGTCGTTCAACTTTGGATCCCAGATACAGCTTCGTTTAATCTCCTCTTTGATGATGGCCAAGGAATATAATACGAATATAGTACTCGAACTCGAGGATTACGTCACGTGAGAAAGAGAGAAAAAGGAGAAAACAGCCCTCCCACGTGAATACACAGGAGGCCGATCATCATACACAACCAAACTAGACTCGACTCGGCTCGGCTCGGCGATTCAGGAGAACACGCGAAGGAGAGAGCACCCAATCATCAAACTCGCATTTCGAGACGGTAATGGGTGTGTTTAGCCGGCCGTGGAACAGGAGGATCTCGTTGAGAGAGAGAGAGAGAGAGAGAGAATCTCTCGATCGTGATCGAGGAGGGCCCACCGATAATAATCATCGTACGTAGAGGAGGCCCGGGCAATTACGTGCCCGGGGCGGTCCAATCGGGCGCCCTCTACTCTTCCACGACATCTTGCCTCCTCCCCCCCCCCCCCCCCTCGATATTCTCCTCGATGGATCTCTTTCCCTTCGCCTCTCAGAGGTTCACACACTCTCTTATTAGGCTGTATTACCGGTAACGCCGCCGTGGCGACCCCGGCATGTCCCGGGCCCCAGGGAAATGGCGGCCGCATAATAGGGGGAGAGAGAGAGAGAGAGAGGCGTTTCTCCTTCTCCTGCGATTATATCGCAGGAGAAGAGGGAAGTTTCGTGATCAAGAAGTTTGATGAATAATTCTACCAGAAGTAGAATTTTTGCCAACCATTGATAATAAATGGGCGGATGTTTTTCCTGGAAGAGGAGGGGGGGGGGGATGATCGATCCTTCGTTGAAAATTGTGTTGAGGTATATAATGGATAATAATAATTATTCCAAGGTTGTGGGGAAAAGTACTCGAGTCGAGGGATGAAAAGGGGAGAGGAATATGGTTGTTTGAGAGATATGTGTATGTATATGGGAGGAGGATCTAGATCTTCCAATAAGATGGTCGCGAAACGAAGTTCAAAGAGGGCTTTTCAATATGGAATCGAGCGATAAACGCCTCCTCTTCCCTCGGACGTATCTCTCGGAGATAGGGAGGGGAAGCTTTATAACTTGGCTAGGAGAGCCACACCAGAGAGACAAATCGCGCGGCGCGATCTCTCGCGAGGCATCCGGTTTCCTTGAGGGTGGTGGTGATGCGCAACAATGATCGAACCACCACCACGTTTCTTTCTCTCGTGAAATTTTTTCGTTCGAGAAACGAAAAATGATACTTCTTCTTCTTTGTGAATTAAATTCTATATTGAGAAATATGTATCGAAGAATTATAGATTGAGATAATATTGCTACGATTGTTGTTGTTATTCGATATATTAGTTCGTTCGTGAGATAGAAAAAGAAAAAAAAAGAAAAGATAGAGAAATTCTTCCACGAGATGGAAATAGGGAACGAGGTTGTAAAATGCTTTCCTCTCTACTTAAGACGGCTAAGTAGAAGGTAAAAAAGACTCCCTATCGATTCCCCACCCCCGGTAACGACGGCCGATTTCGCCGCGACCGAGATAAGGGATGATATTACGCCACCTCGGTCGAGCGCACTTGACGAATACTTGGACGAAGGAAACGCGATGTTGAACGCGATGGAGAAGAGGAAAGGAGCCAGGAGAGAAAAAGAAGTTTAAAAATACCCCGAACAAGCGTCAATTTACCTTATGAACATCGAAGCTCGAGAAAGAGGAAGAAGAAGAAGAAGAAACAAATTCAAAGCGATGTATATTTATATATATGTATTTTCCAAGTTTTGAAATGACGAATAAAGCTTGGATACACGAGGGCGAAAATGAATAGAAGATAAAACAAATTTTAAAGGGAATCTTAATCTGAAAGAGAGAAAAAAGAAGAAAAAGAAGAAACAAATTCAAATCGATGTATATATGTATATACTTTTCCAAATTTCGTTCGAAACGAAACCATAAATAAAGATATATGAGGACGAAAATGAATAGAAGATAGAGCAAAATTTAAAGAAAGAAGGGTGAAAGAGAGAAAAAAGAAGAAAAAGAAGAAACAAATCCAAACCGATGTATATTTGTATATATGTATTTTCCAAGTTTCGTTTAAAATCACGAATAAAGCTTGGATACACGGCGAAAATGAATAGAAGATAAAACGAATCTTAAAGAGGAAAAAGATGGAAGAGAAAAAGAAGAAGAAAAAGAAGAAGCAAATATATATACGTTTATACTTTTTCAAGTCTCATTCGAAACCACGAATAAAGCTTGAATACAAGGACGAAAATAAATAGAAGATAGAACGAATCTTAAAGAGAGAAGGGTGAAAGAGAGAAAAAAGAAGAAAAAGAAGAAACAAATCCAAACCGATATATATTTATATATATATGTGTATTTTCCAAGTTTCATTTGAAATCACGAATAAAGCTTGGATACACGAGGACGAAAATGAATAGAAGATAAAACAAATCTGAAAGAGAGAAAAAAGAAGAAAAAGAAGAAACAAATCCAAACCGATGTATATTTGTATATATGTATTTTCCAAGTTTCATTTGAAATCACGAATAAAGCTTGGATACACGAGGGCGAAAATGAATAGAAGATACAATAAACCTTAGAGGGCAAGAGGCTAGAAGAGACAAAGAAAAAGAAGAAGAAGAAGAAACAAATCTAAACCGATATATATGTACACTTTTTCAAGTCTCGTTCAAAACGAAATGAAATAATGAATAGACGAAGAAGAAAATGAATAGAAGATAGAACAAACCTTAAAGGGGAGAGGACTGGAAAAGGGAAAGCAGAAAAAGAAGAAACAAATCCAAACCGATATATGTACACTTTTTCAAGTCTCGTTCAAAACGAAATGAAATAATGGATAGACGAAGATGAAAATGAATAGAAGATAGAACAAACCTTAGAGGGGAAGAAAGAGAGAAAGAAGAATAAGAAGAAACAAATCCAAACCGATGTATAGAAGATAAAGAGAAGGGGTGGAAGACAGAAAAAGGAAGAAGAAGAAAAGGAAGAAACAAATCCAAACCGATATACACTTTTCCAAATCTCGTTCGAATAAAGACACACGAAAATGAATAGAAGATAGAACAACCCTTGGAGGGTGGAAGAGAGAAAAATAAATAAACAGAAGGTTAGAATCGAGGGGGTGGTGTTGGGCAACGAGCGAGAGAAGGGAAGAGGAGAGGAGAGGAGAGGAGCCTGGTCCCTTGGTTGAGGAGGGGTGGTGAGGAGGTATCGAGGGCGCTAATGTTCCCCGGCCAGGAAACACCGTCTCCGTCCT